TGCTGCTGCTGCTCGGCCTGTGCGAGGTGCTGCTGCAAGCCCAAAAGCTGATGCTGAGGGGAGACGCCGGCTGCGTGGGCCGCCCCCAGCACCCCCAGTGACGCCGGCCTTTGGTGTTGATGGTCAGCCTGCTGCTCAAACGCGCCGCCCACGGGCAACGGGCTGGGCGGCGCGCCAAGCGCGCCCACCGGCAAGCCGCTGTGCGGCGACGCCATCGCAGCCGCCGCTGCCGCGTATACGTTTGCTGATTGCTGCTGCTGCTGTTGCTGCTGTTGGTGTTGCTCCTTCAGCTGCTGCATCGTCACCGCGGCGGCCGCTGCAGCGTCGCTCGCCGCCTGGTGCTGCTGCTGCAGCTGCTGCAGCTGCAGCAGCTGTAGCTCGAGCGCCGCCGCGTGCTGCTGGTGCTGCAGCAGCTGCTGCTGCCGCTCCCGCTCGTGCTGCTGCCACGCTGCCTGCTCGGCCGCGGCCGCGGCGGCGGCCAGCGCCAGCCGCCCGGGGCCGTCATGGGGGCTGCCCAGGCTTATCGCGCTGCCGGGCTGCACATGCAATGCTGACGTGTGGGCGGGGTCGTACCACGCCAGCTGTATCGCCTTGCCGTGCAGCGCCGCGCCGTCCAGGGCGCGCAGCGCGGCACACGCGGCGGGGTGCGACGCAAACTCGACGGATGCGCAGCCGGCCGAGCGGCCGCTCTTGTGCGTGAACACCTGGAGGGGTGGCCAGGGGCGCTCGGCTTGGGGACGGGCATGCACCGGAGGGTGCGTGGGGGGCGCGCGCTCGCTGAGTTTTTGGGTCTGGCGGGTTGCGGCGAGGGAGCTTTGAGGTTACGGGCGGCCGGGAGCGTGCGCCTCATCGGCTGCAGGCGCGCCTGAGGTGAGGGGCGCGCCACAGCGTTTTCGAGCAGGTGGACAGCTGCCCCCGCAGGGCTGACCATGGCTCGCGTCCCCCCACGGCGTATTGGGGCGCCGCGCCACTGCCTAGAGACTGGTTTCAAAGTCCCTAGCCCTGCTGCGGCCGCTGCAGGGCTCGATCAAGGCCGCACCTTGCAGCCAGTGACGCTGCCCATGGCGGAGAATGTCTGCAGCAGCGCCGCCATCGTCACCGACGGGTGCAAGCGGCGTACCATGAGCACACGGCGCTGCCTGTCATCAATCCTAGAAGGTGCCCGGGGCCAGAGGGATGGCGCCGAGGTGGGTTAGGGGGTGGACCCCAGACCGCGGCCCCGGCGAGCTGTTTCCCGGATTGACGGAGCATTTTAATGTGATCAGAGTGCGAATACGCCGTGGTGAGACGGACGGAGCACCGCTGCAGCAGCGTTGAGGACCTCCGCGGCCCTTGCGCACGCCCAACCGAGACTCTCACCCGCAGGAGCATGCTTGCGGAGCCATCTGTCTCTGTCAACGCCTCCCGTCCCCCGGGACCCTCAGATCGCGAGGCGCAACATCAATCACTCGCCGGCCCTGAGGGCCCTCGATGCTTGTATTTGTACCACAAATACCTCGTGCAATGTATCTCTTCGTGAATGCCGCGTGACGACCAGGTGCGAAGGGTGTCGTCGTTGCAAAACAGGGGTGGACGCGCAAAGACACCAAACCAACATCAACCACCATTGGCGAAAGCCCCTCCCGTGAGACGCCCAGGCGCATACATATGATTCGACGCCAGCCAGAGGCCAGCAACGGCTACGCCCGCCGCCAAGCCTCATCACTCAGCCGTGTCCTGGGACGCACTGCGTCTCCCGCCCTTTGGGAGGCGGTGCGGCTCGCACGCGTCGCAGCTCAGACCCAGCTCGTTTCGCAACCTTTGGGAAAGTTTGTGCAATGCCTGGATCAACCAGATCTCGCATGCCTCGGTCTTCGGCGTTGGTCAAACACTCGGCCCAGTGGCCCGTATGCAGCACTCTCCGTTCCCCATTCAACCATCAAGTCAGTGCCAAACCGCGACTGCACCCGAATTTCCACCGAAAACAACTAGTGTCGCAACGTCAACAGCGTTGGCCCGTGCAAGAGACGCGGGGCTCGAGATCCTCGCATGAGGGGCGAGCGTCGCCAGCGAGCAGTGCTCGCTGGCATCCACCCTGGCAGGGTGGGGTTCGCAGGCCGGCGCTGCTGCCCCTCAACCTAGGGCAGGACTTGTCCATGCAATGAGCCACATCAAGAGACCTAGCAGCAGGCATGCAGGGTCAGGAGGGACCACCGGAAGGGTGTGTGTGTGTGGGGGGGGGGAGGGGCAAGCGGCGGGCCCTGTTTGCCATGCTCTTCACCACCCTCCCCCGCCCAGGCTGCTGCGCCTGCTGCCGGACTCACTGGTACCCCGGCTGCTGCCTCTGCTCGCGCGGTCCATGGGCCCGCCGGCGGCGCCGCCGGCGCGGCCCCCTGCTGTGTCCCGCCGTGCTCTGCGGCCCGCCTGCTGCGCCCGGCCGTCGCCGCTGGGGCCACGCGTGGTCTCGTCGTCCGGCGGGGGCTGCAGGCGGACTCCGTCCAAGCGCCGCATTAGATGACTCATGCGGCGGGCCTGCGGGGTTGGTGGTAGGCGGGCACAACAGCAGACGCACGGGCGGGTGACAGGTGCAAATGCTGGGGTGTGGGGGACCGTCTGATGACTGGGCGATTGGTTAGCCTCACAGTTATTGCACAACATATCATCATGTTCGCATGACAAGCAAATCCCCCGCTCACTCAGAGCCTTAGTCACCCGATGCAAGGGCATGGGCGCATGAATAACCCCGGGTGGCTACCAAGCGCCAGCTCACGTCATCCTCTCGCATCATCTCCAACAGGAGGGCGCGGCTCGGGAGCGGCGGCGCGGCGCGCACGGCCGCCGGTGCTGCCGAGCTCGCAGCACCCGCGGCGCCGCCGGCGGGCCGGGGCGCCGCGGAGCGCGCGCCGCCGCGCTGCTGACCGGCCCCAAGGTCTGCTGACGTGGCAGGGCCCTTGGGCTGCCGCGGGGTGTTGGCGAGAGAATACCTGCAGGGTGTGTGGCAGCATGGATGGAATGATTACATAATGTTTGCATGCAGCGCAACCGATGCGCCCAGACATTGCGCCTTCTCCCATCAATCATCATGCTGACTGGTTACATAGTTGCATAAATCATAATGCACAAAGCCTCCCTGATGTGCAATCCCCTCTCATAGACATTCATGGCTGCGGTGGCACCCGCCCACCTGCCGCCGCTGCTGAACCGCGCGCCGAGCGTCCCCAACGCGCCAGCCCCATTATCGCCGTCCGCGCCAGCCGCGCAGCCCCAGCCGCCGCGGCCGGGGTCTGCCGGCTCTGGAGACGGCCGCCGCGCGCGCGCCGCCTCGCGCACCGCTTCCAATAGGCTGCCCAGGGATGACCGCTGGTGACCGCCACCCTCCCACTCCGAGGGCGCCACTGCAGCTGCAAATTCTGGCTCCAACAACGCAAGCCTCGCCAGCGGCCAATCCGAACAGGCAGCATGGCCACTACCCTCGCCGCCCTCGCCGTCCCCACCGCCGCCGCAGGCCCCCGACCCAACCCCAGCAGCTGCCGCCGGCCCCTTCCATGCGTTGCTGCTCGGGGCTCGCTGATCTGGCGGATCCGCGTGCTGCGGCGACCAATCGCAACCAGCAGTGTCGATGCCGCTTTGCGAACCCTGCTGCTCCCCGGGCGGCCCCGCAGGTGCCCCGACCGGCGGGGCCACGTACGGGGCCGCGATCAGCGCTGTGAAGCTGCCGAGAAGCTCCAGCGCTCGTCGCGGGCACCTCAGGCGAGCGAGTGCGGCGTCCATCTCCGCCTCCGCCACCGACGCGCAGCCGCCTGCGCCCCTGTGATCTGCCTGCTGGCGGCCTGCGGCGCCCACCCGCCCCGGCAGCCCCGCAGCGTTTGTGGCCGCCAGCTGGCTATCCCAGGTTGAGCCGGCACCCTCTGGGGGGTCTGCAGGCCGCGTAGGCGCAGCCCGCCTGCCGGTAGTGCTTGAGGGGCCGTCGGCTCGCTCGTCATGCCTGCCGCCGCCGCAGATGGATCGCCACTCTCCCGTCTCCCGGCGGGCGCCCCGCCCGGCGCGCGACCCGCGGCCGTCGACGCGAATAGGGTCAGGGGCAGCGGGCACAACGTGATGCTCCCTTGCCCGGCAGCCGGAACTAGAGCGCGCCGCCATGCCGGGCCGCCACGCCGGACGCTGCAGGGCAGGGTGCACGGCAAGGTGCGCAGCGAGCGCGGGTGCGGTGCGGTTGAGGCGGGCGAGCAAGAGTTGCTTCTGGCGGGTGCGTGTGGGCATTGTCCAACCACAACAGGCAAGCATGGAAAACACACACACACGCGTGCATCGTGCGGGCACGCGCTTGTGCGGGCATGGACGTGCACGCGCACATTCACATGCACAAACACACACCGGCACGCATGGCACACACACACACACACACACACACACACACACACACAGAGGCACAAAAATATGTCGACCCAGCAGAATGCCCCCGTGCAAGGACGCAGTCTCTGCGAATTGAGGTCCAGGATGGTTGACCACGCGAATGCATCAACAATCAGATACAGACTAGCACCTGCCCCACTCCTCCTGCTTCCCAAAAATAAGTGCACTGTGGTGCGAATCCTGACGTCACACTCACTCACCCCACAGCAGGGGTACGTGCCCCCGGCGGCCTCAGACCCAAACACCGCCGCCTGGGGGTGGAAGCTGCAGTGCAGGTGCTCGCAGGCCGGATAGTGTGTGTGGCACGCCCCGCAGTAGAGCACCTGCAGGCGAGGCGAGGCACGCCACAATGAATGGGAGCGTCGCAGAGACGGCAAACGGGCAGGCAGGTGATGCTTGCTTTCAAAGCGACCGTTCAGCGCAAATTGAAAACTCCCGGCCGGCTGTTGAGAAGCTGTCCATACAATCTCTAATGAGTGGGGCGCCTGTCAACAGGGCGGACAGCAGTCCACCGACTGATGTTGTCGGTTGTTGCTGAGGACGCGTCTGCCTGGAAACATTTGGGCCTCCTCCGTCCTCCTCCGTCCTCCTCCCTCCCCGCCCTCCAATCAGCAAATAACACGCATTTGGTAATGCAGCAGCAGCAGCAGCAGCAGCAGCAGCAGCAGCAGCAGCAGCAGCAGCAGCAGCAGCAGCAGCAGCAGCAGCAGCAGCAGCAGCAGCAGCAGCAGCCGAAGCAGAAGCAGCAGCAGCAGCAGCAGCAGCAGCCGAAGCAGAAGCAGAAGCAGCAGCCAGCCACACACCTGCACAAGGCCCCACACATGCCAGTAGATCTCCCTGTGCGAGCGCCGCTCGCGGCGCCGAAGCGCCCGCAGGTAATCCCCGAAGCTCCAGTTGGGGTCGGGCACGTGCAGTAGCAGGCGCGACGCGTCGTGGGGCCTGCTGGGCAGGTGAAGGAGCGCGGCATGCAAGCAGGAGGGGCGGCCGCTCGTGAGCCTTTCTACCGACAAATTCCCCCATGCGGGCGCTGGCAGTGGGCGATGAGGGACGAGCAGTGCAGGGGTGGCGAGGCGGGGACGGCTGTTTTGGGGCTGGGAGGTGGCTGGCGAGTGTGTGCCTGTGGCTGTGGCTGATGGTTACGTCAGGCGAGGCTGGGCAGCGGCCAGACCCTGCTGTTGCATTGCACCGGCACAGCCGAGCCGTATGCGAGGGCAAATGGCAACAGGCCTGCGTTTCCTGGCTACCTCCGGCTCTGCCTCATGCCCCCACAAACAGACGCACCCGCCGCCGCCGCCGCCACCACCGGCCTCGCAGGGGAGCTTGCGCGCCGCCGCCGCGCTGAAGAGCCCGCCACACGCCGCGCAGCGCAGCAGCACGGTGTCGTGCGCGCGCAGCAGCGCAGACAGCCGCGCCTTGAACAGCCGCTGCAGCGGCCGGCAGCGCCTGACGTGGTGTTTATGCGGGGATGGCAGGCGCAGCGCGTGCGGCAGAGCGCCTTCTGATTGGTGAAACACATGAGCTTATGAGGCAGCTCCGGCTGTGCAGCAAAACCAAAGGCCAATTTCGCAGCACTGTTGCATGTGCGTGTCATCTCCTTGTGATGACACGGTCCGTGACGTGCACTGAGCCGTCTGCAGCTCGCACGCCCAGCCGCCGCAACTCATGCGCAGGCGCCCCAGAGGACCTTCTTTCGCCATCGTCGGCCGCTGCCAAAGTGCAGAAGCGCCGCGGCGCGCGCACCTCTCGCCCCCGCAGGCGCCGATCTTCTCAAACGCCTCCTCCAGCTCTGCTTCGTTGGCGGCCTGCGCGCATACACACGTGAACGTATGTCATGGCGCCTGTCGCGCCACCGCTGGAACCCAGTGCGCCGCAGCAGCAAAGCCCCGGACAGCCGAGCACCCCCGCAGATCGACTCAACCCCCGCCCGCTAGCCGAACCAACCGCCGCGGTCTCACGTGGCGTGACCGCCGCGGTCTCACCCCGCGTGAGACACGCTGCGCCGTCTGCAGTGCACCGCGGCTTGTGACTGCGTGCGGGCACGCATGCACGCTCACCAGCGCGACGCGCTCCAACAAATCAGGCGGCAGCAAGCCGAGCGGCGCGGGCTCGGGGCGCGCCGCCAGCAGCTCTGGCAGGCGCGCGGCCGCGAACGCGACGGCCTGCGCAGCCAGGCGCGGCATCTGCGGTGGGAGTTGAGATGGTGGGTGCGTGGGGGTGCGAGGGGCGCCGTGCGGGCGATGCGCGCACCAAATCAGCTGTGGATGTTGGCAGGGTTGTCAAGGAAAAGCCACAGCTGCAGTCTCTATAACATCTAACAAAATCCAGTGAGGGCCCTGGCCAAATGTTTTGACTGGGATCGAGCCCGTTCAATCGCCGGCATACGAGCAGGCACAAATAAAGCACCCAAAAGCATCATCTTCTGGTCACCTGCAGGAACTCTGCGGCCACCAAGATCTCAAGGCAGTTGCCGACAGCCAGCTCCTGTGAACCACCGCTGCCCCCTTGGTGCCGCCGCTGCATGTGTGCGCGCCCCGGCGCATCAGGGCCCGCAGCGGGGGCGGCGGCGGCGCCTCGCGCGGCACCGCAGCCTGCCACGTCGCCGCCGGATGCATGTTGGGTCTTCATGTAGCGCAGAATCCACACAAACACGTCCGCATCACATTCGACGTCGATGCGCGCATCCTGGCCGGGGCCGACGCCGGCGAGGGCAGCTGCGAAGAAGCCGCTGCCGCGGGTCAGCATCGACAGCTCGCAGCTTAAGGCCTTCTGGGCGCCGCCGCGGCGCGGGTCGCGCACCACAAGCGTCACAATCCCCATGTTGGGGTCAGCCACGGCGGTGGCCGGTCCACAGCGCAGCTTTGCAGGTTGGCGGGATGCGCGCCACGGCTGCAAGTCGCGCGGAGTGAGCCCCTTGCTGCAAGCGGTGCAGCTGAAGCGGGTGTCAACGAAAGTTACAATCCATGCTTTATGAGCTGAAGCAAGTAGAGCGAGACGCAGTCGCAGTGTCGTCAACGCATTGTCAAGACACACTGCGGGGGTGACATATAATGCCAGCAAACACTTGATGTTGAAAGATATCTTTTTTGACGATCGAAATAATATAGACATGTGATTGTCAACAACAGCGCTATGTGTATGTGATCTTGATCTTGTAAGAAAACGCTTTTGTGCTGCTGGCCGCTGACCAAGGCGTGGGTGCGACGGCACAACAGGTCATGCTGGCCGTGCGCGGCCTTGCACCCAGCCCTGTCGCGGCGATGGCGCTGCGGCACCAGAGCAGCAGTGCGGGCGCCTCCGCTGACACATCGCCCAGGACTTTGTGTATCCTGGCGTTCGGCGACAGGTGATCAGGGAGATGCATGGTGAATGCACGGCAAAGCATCTGACAGGACATCTGATTCTTACCCCCTGCTTTGAGGCCGGCACACTCGAGAGTCATGAGCGCCCCGCGCTGGAGTGGTGCAAAACCGTGTGCAGCTGGCTCGCCGGGGCCAGAGAGTGTTGTTGCAGCGACCCTGCTGCGAGCCGCCAATGTGCGCACTCCCTCCAACTCCAATCCTCAGCCTCACAGAGGGGTACTGCCTGGACGGCCGCCGCTTCCATCCGTATTCGATCCGGCTGGAGGAGCAGCTGCGCGGCGCCTTCCCGCGCGGCTCCAGGATATTTGTCGACCAGCAGGGGCGGTCAGGGGAGCCGGTCGTGCCCAACATGCGGGTGAGCCGGTGGCGGTGCCGTCACTAGTGACCCGCTAGTGACGGCTCGCCGACGGCGCAGGCGCTTTTGGCGGCTTGCTGCTGGTGTGGGCCAGCGGCCGGGTGCACGATCAACAACATGCGGCAGGCTGAATTCAAGTGATGGTGTCACAGGCGAGCGGTGCACGGCCGCTAACCACGTGCGGGCTGATGTTTCAGCAATCAGTGCAGCAGCAACTTGCTCTGCACCCCCAAATGCCACGCTGGCGCTCGCCACTGCATCCCCCACTGCCTATCGCTCTACCCCAGGAGCGCCTGTCGCGCGCGCTCGTCCGCGCGGCGTCCGACGGGGGCCCCTTCGACTGGGTCTGCCTACTGGGCGGCACCAACGACGCAATCTGCGGCGCGGACGCCGCGGAAGTCCTGGAGGCGCTCGACAAGATGCACGCAGAGATCTCTTCATCTGGGGCGCGGCTGGTGGCGATGACGCTGCCGCCATTCCTGGCTCCGCTGGGAGATGCGGAGCGGCGCGCGTTCTACGAAATCAACTCGGGCTTGCGGCAGCGTTTCCTGCCCTCAGCACCACTTCGCGGCACGGTCGCCGGCGCCGGCGCCGCATTGGGTGCGGCCGGCGCCGACAGCGGCGGGGAGCGGGAGGAGGCGGCGGTTTCGGGAGTTTTGCAACCGCCGGAGGGGCGGCTGCTGGTGGATTTGGAGGCGCTGCTGTCGCCGGCGGCGCTGGGGCCGGCGGAGGCGGCGCGGCTTTGGGACGACGAGGTTCACCTGACGCCCGATGGGTACGGCTTTGTCGGGGACCGCATCTTCGAGGCGCTGCTGCCCCACCTTGGGCTGCGGTAGTGCCGTGGAGGGGGGACACGACGAGGCTTTCGACGGGGCTGGGGGCTTTGTGAGGGGCCGCCGGCATCAAACATTGACGGGCCAAGACGTGGGGCGATTCGTTGGCCGGCGTTTGGGCGTTTGCGGCTAGTCGCTGCCAGCCGGGATGTCAAGTTGTGGGGGTTCCGGCAAGAGCTTCCCCCACGTGTGTACTGAATGGCTGATTATTGCTGTGGGTTGGTGATTTTCAATTGTCGCCAATGCGCTCTTGCAGCTGCATTGTACCTACCAGTGACGGTATCGATGTGTACATATACGGTGCGTGCTCTGCTCTTCGCAATTGCCCTGCGTCCTCATGCATGTTAATTCTTTGTCAACAACGCGTCACCAGCTGTTGTCAATTGCAGAGTGGTGCTGCGCTCGTGCGCGTGACGGAGTTGCGTGCTGGCCAATAGACGCGGCTTGCTTGCACGCGGGAAGGGACACCTCAATTACTTTGGCTTGTTCTACCAGTCGTATGCACCCGTGTGTACCACATGCGGTATTGTATATGCCGGTGTGTACAATATGCGGTACAACATGCCGTATTATATGATATGCACCCGTGCACACAATACAGGGTAATCAAATAAAGCCCCTTTGTCGCCGCCAAGCGGCGCGTCGAAAACATCAGCCATGTAGCAGGGCCCGCCCAGTAGGTGTGACCTGCATGCACCACCTCCGCAATTTCGCCGGCGCGCGTGCCTATCCTTTCGCATTCCCCTTGCTTCAGCAACAAAGGGGCCACTCAACTTCGACGTGCCCGTGCGCCTGCCCCCGAAATCTGTTGTCC